TTGTGATCGACAGCATGGTGGACGTGGTTTTCTTTGTGGACATAGTGCTCAATTTCCACACGTCGTTTGTGGGCCCAAGTGGTGAAGTAATATCGGACCCTAAAGTGATTCGAATGCATTATCTGAAGAGTTGGTTTGTAATTGATCTGTTATCCTGTCTACCGTATGATGTGTTTAATGCCTTCCAATATGTTGATGATGTAAGTACCTCTTGCTTCTGATGCTTCTGCACTGACCTCTACGTATAGATTAATACTGCTGATGAATTTTCTGACCAAAGATACAAAGAAAGATCATCCTTACGTAACACATGATGACATAAGCATCTCGACATGCATAAAGAGAATGCACATTGGTAGTAATGTTCATTGCCTTTGACTTCATTAGGTCCTATTCAGGTATATCACTTGAACCCCTTTGTACTGATAGTGGACCATAGATGTCTGAATCTAATTGTCACTTTGCCGACTGTCTCAAGAAATTAAGAAATTTGATCTCCATTTATTTCAGGGAATCAGTACCCTCTTCAGTGCTCTTAAAGTTGTGCGTTTGCTGCGTCTGGGAAGAGTAGTAAGGAAGCTTGATCATTATTTGGAGTATGGAGCTGCTATGTTGATCTTACTTATACTCGTGTTCATATTATTTGCCCATTGGTTCGCTTGTATCTGGTATTCAATTGGATTTGTCAAAATAAATCTTGCCTATTTTGAAACTCATCTTGTAATTTGATTCTTATTCTTATTCGCAGTCATCTAACAAGTTCGATGATTTGGCTTCAGATATTGCCATGTAGCTGGTTTATTCTGTAGACATATATAAGCATAATTTCTTACTATAGGACCGTATTAGACATAGCACAATTTCTCTTTTTCTGATCGTGTAAAAAGATTTTTCTTAGTTAATTTAGTATCGGGTGAATTATCCCATTTCTGTATGTCAACAATATTGTGTTAATACTCACTTGGAAAATTGTTTTCTCACTATGATTGCACGTTGCTCTTTAATATCGTTATTATTTTAATTCCACATGCGACGAGTTG